GGTGGTGGGTGCATGCGTGTCCTTGGGAGGTGCCAGTGGCTCTCCAGGGATCTCTGCCCCCCAGCTAGAGGCTGAGGTCCACCACCACGTGCCGGTAGACCACCGTGTTGGCCTTGAAGCTGGGAGCCAGGAGGAGCTGCACGTCGGCCGCCGGCACGTAGCGGAACGCCCGCGGCGCCTGCACCGACAGCTCCTGGAACTTGACGAATTTCTGCTTCTCCTCTTCCCACAGGTACACGTGGGTGAAGGAGAAGTCACTGCCCAGGGCAAGGTACTGCCTCTGCCCCACGGCGAAGGGCTGCATCACCATGGAGCCGCGGGACGGCAGCGTCTGCACCTCGAGGAATCGCTGCCCTTCCCACCGCACCACCTTGGAGTCGCCGATGTAGCGGCTGAGGCACAGGAACTGGTCCCTCTTCGACCTGAAGTGCTTCACCATCTGCACGTCCAGCATCTCCCCCACCTCCCCCTGCGACACGAACTGCTTCTGGGCACGGTTCCACTGGTAGATGACAGGAGCTTGGGAGCTGCTGGAGATGATCAGCCGTGGTTTGCCGTCGTTCTCCACGTACTCCACGTCGGTGTCGCGGTGCCAGGCATGGAGAGCTTGGTGGGAGTAGAAGCCGTTCTGGTTGAGGCGGTAGAGGCTGGTGGAACCTGCCTTGGAGCTGTCGGCGATGACGAAGTACCAGTCGCTGTCGATCTGGAAGGCCTCGATGTCGTTGGGTTTGCGGATCTTTTGGCTGTCGATGTCCTGGATCTTGATGAACTTATCCACGGCCGTGTCCCAGCGGTAGATGTAGGAGCCACCAAAGAGCTGAGCCACCACCACATAGAGCTGGTCCTGAGCCACGATGGGTTTGCAGTACACTGCCGAGTGAGCTGCCAGCAAGACCATATCATGCCAGGGTTGTGCCCTTGCCATGTCACCCAAAATAGGGGTCCGAGCCCAGGTGGAGACCCCCAGCCCGATGCCTCACCAGGGATGCGGTCGAAGTCACGCAGCTTGCGCTCCACGTAGTCCCACTTGAGGATGGAGCAGCTGCTGGCACCAGGCTGTGCCAGGGCCACGTACAGGTCACTGGCATAGGTGAAGGGCTCAGCTGACACTGACTGGAAGGGCAGGACCTGGTGCATCACGAAATCTGGAGGGGGGAGAGGTGGCAATGAGGGTCTGGGCACTCAGGAGTGGGGTGACAGGTGATGGTGGTTCCTTACCTGTGGTGATGCACTGGAAGTCCCCAAGCGCCAGGTCCCGGATCCGCTGTCCCTCAAACTGCC